ACTGTCGGAAACTCCCATATTGATGAGGTTGTGTTTTTGGGGATCTCAGTCTCAATGAGTTCCAATCCGGAACTCACAACCCGTGGGACCCAACAACCCTACACTGAGCCATCGCAGCTGTGGGCTAGTGAGTTGAGCCTAGGTTGTCCGGCAATAACGTTTACGTGGTGGACCCTAAACTGGCCCTAAGCCCTCATTGAGAATAGTAGGCCTGGTTTGGGCGGAACTACGTGCTTTAAGCGGGTGCGCCCAGACGCCCACCCACCTCGCACACACGGTTTCAAACCGCCGAGCTACGGAATGTGCTCCCTTCTGTCATGAGTCCTTTGGTGTAGAGCTGGGTTGGAAGATTGTTTGAATGGCCCAGGGGTGCACGGCATTAGGTTTGTTTCTTGAGAGACTTGCCGGGTTCACAGCGTAGAAGGCGCGACTTCATGGCACAGTCTGACGTCGCCTGGACTGCATTGCGCAATGCCAACTACATGAATGCAGCCAGCGAATCCGACACTTTTGAGTTCTTGAGCGAGGAAGTGTCTGTGGGATTGGAACCAAAGCCACGAGCAAACGCCGGGAATGCTGCGGAGCCTCTGCTCAGGAGCAGCATGCCTGTGCACCCAGGTGCAGCCCTCCTGCCCACAGCAGCACCACGCGTAGGCTGAGACGTCTTGCAGCAGAGCTAAGTCCTGAAATCCTTGAAGCCTGGAAGACAGGAGAGGATGGAAGCCCTCCTTGCCGAAAGTGCGCGAGGAGGTGGGGTTCAAGGGTTGGGTTCTTTCTACTGTTCCTCGGATCTTACGACGGTGGTGCCAGCCGCTTTTTGCACTGCTGCTGCTGCTGCTGCTGCTGCTGCGGCGTTCATCGCTACCGGTCGCACTGCTGGTAGTTAGCCCTATTTCCAGAAAAACATGAACACTGCAGCCATAGCTGCTAGTAGCACAACTTCTCCTTGGCTGCTGCGGCCTCCGTATGTGTGCGAAGATCGGACGTTGCCGGGTCTTGGTCATTGATGCTGCTGCGGCTGCTGCTGGTGGTCTCCTGCTACTGCGACCGCTACTACGACGACGACGACCACTCCTACTCCTGCTCCCAGTCTCGGGAGGCTGTTGCTGTTAAGGTGCCTACTTTCTCAGGCGTGTCCGATGCTGAGGTCGAGAAGAGTTTGGTTTTTCTGCACTGTCGAGCTCCAGGGTGCCTGGTGATTGCCTTCCATGATAAGACAAGAGGAGCTCCTGAGGCCGCGTGAGCGCCAAACATTGCTGAAATGCATGTGTGCGTTGTCTTCTTGACATGCGCATACCGGATTCTACATGCACCGACACATGTTTATGTGCATGCACACACACATATACTGATAGATGGATAGATAGATAGATAGATATGCATGCGTATAGAGACATGCGTAATCATGTGTAAGTATACTCCGCTGAAACAGTTTGGGGAGTTAGTTCCACCAGGCCAGGGATCCATTTCTTTGCATAGACGACTTCTTAAAGGACTAACCCCCCTACGGTTTAGGGTTTAGGGTTTAGGACGAACCCCCTATTACTGAAACTCCAATACAGCAGCACCCAGTCGCCACAGCGACGGCAGCGCCGCAGCCCGCAACCGTAAAGCACGAGGACCAGGCCGGAAGAGGGGAGAGTTTGTTTAGGGTTTCGGGTTTAGGGTACTTACCTAAGAATGGGGTGCAAGTATAACTACTATTAGTACCATTCTTCCATTCCTTACTACCCAAAGGTAAGGCAAAGGATTGGGATCATGCTGTCAATAGATAGATTACAGTCTGAACGTCATGACAAGAGCCAGCAGGTTGCAATGGGAAGCCAAGAAATCCAACATGAATAAGCAGTAAGTCAGGAAATTTGCCCAGAACGGGACAAGCCTAAGCCTCAGCAAGATTCGAGAAGCCCGTGTCAGAATCACAAGCCTCAAACTCCGCAGGCCCCAAACCCCAGTCGGGAAGCAAAATACCAGGACCCCCCAGCACGCTGTCACAAAGACCTCAAATCCTTAAGCAGCCGAGATCAATTATGGGTCTAGGGTTTAGTGAAACAAGAGCTTAACCCCGCGTCTTTCCGGGTTCAAAGGCTTGTTAGGGTTTAGCGAGTGGTCTTGTTCACGACGTTGGGCTTTAGACCTCAAGAGTTCTATGTTTGGGGGATCTCTGAAGCAGTGAAGGTCCATGTATTGCCGACCCTGCAAGCAGTAGCGCTGTTCAAGCTGATATGATCATGATATATCATGGTCGCAATAGTAATGCAGATGTATCAGATGTAAGTGTCAGATAGTGTCAGCAAATACAGAAAATTTTCACACTCACGTGCATACATGTATCCACCAACATGCATATATCTATGTCTAATATCTATTTTTATTTTTATGCCTATCCCTATATCTATGTTTATGTCTAAATCTGTATCTTTATCTTGTATGTGCATGCATTCAGACATACATACATACAGTGACCCCACTTGGACCCACAATATTCCGAATCTCCCGCTTTTGGCAGCCTCGGAGCCGTCCTCTCCTGGCTTTGCCTCCGCCGCCGGGCTTGCCATCAGGCCGCTCAGGCTTGCGGCGCCGGTTGGGGGATCAGGGTGTTTGGTTTGTTTGGTTTAGGGTTGGGCGGGATATCTGGTGGTGATCCAACATGAGAGGATCGCGATTACAAGACGATTACAAGTGCTCGACCCTTGTGTCGATACGTTCCGGCCTCCTTCAAGTTTATGGACATTGCCAAATGGCGTGGAGCCAGCGCAGCAAGTCTCGATCTCGATCCAAGAAACAAGGCATGGACTCTACCCGCTGGTCGAGCATGCCACACCCGTTGGTCACTGTTAGTCTCAGTTTCGCCCGGCCATACTTCTGAACAACGGCGGGTGATGTTGTTTGTGTTAGGTACCTGTCGTCTCGCTCATTTATTTCGTGACGTCGCTCATTTATTTCGTGACGAGACAGGCATTGCAGTATTATTTTGGTGGGTGGGTGTAGGGCGCGTTGAGATGCGTTGAGTGTATTATTGGTGAGTGCAAATTTGGGGTATCTGATTGGGGATCTATGTAACATCTGCCCGTTCCTCCGCGAGAGACATTCTTAGAGGATAAACGGCTCAGCTTCAGTGAAGATACTCGTGATCTTTAGTGAAAGTAGGGGCACCGGCTTGTTCTTTCTGTCTCAACTTCATGGCCGGAGACGCATAGTTCGATTCACCCGCAATGCAACACCCACTTCACGTCGTGCGAAATCAATCTGCCCATGTCGGACGAAAGTTGTGAATATCGTCATATCATGGTATCGTCATTTCCAGTACCACCGCCGCAGGCCGCTGCCGCCACCCCCACCACCACCACCACCACCACCACCACCACCACCACCACCACCACCACCACCACCACCACCTCCTCGGATTCGATTCGGGAACTCATGGGCAGGGTTTGGGCTGCAGAGCACATCGTAACGTTTCGTAGTGACTGGCTCCACAGATAACACCAAGCCTATATCCTGTTCTTTTCTGGCGAGGCTTTGGTCGTCACGCGCCAGGACAATCACAGCAAGACAACGACACTTAATAATTTAGCAACAGTTTGGAGGTAGCTGGGAGTTTCCAAAATAGTAGGATCCTTATTATAGGGACCCCAAAACAAGGTGCCCCTAATTTTCGGAAACTCCCAACTGAAAGTCGCAGTAAGTGGTAAGTAAATTGAAGGGCCGAAGTCGAATTTGCCAGGGGTCTCGCCAACACCTCCGGATCCCTCACCACCACGAAGGAGGTGGGCTTTTTGGGATCCGGACGCCATGTACGAGTCTGTGCAGAAAAGGAATCGGGATTCATTTTGCGCGGTTTTAGGGCTTCGGACTTCGGAGGTTTGGGGAAAAGGGTTTAGAGTTCCAGAGTTGGGGCTTAGCATGCAGACGTCGTGAAAGGTTGGGATTTAGTGTCGCGATCGCGATCGGCGGATCTGCGGCGGTTTCTCTCTGAGGCTTTCAGCTTTTGTCGTGAGGCCGACAGTACATGTTTGCTGCAGCAACTTGACACCTGTTTGCTAAACCAGACTTGTCGAAAGGGAGAACTCATGTGAACGAGGGGTTGCAAATTCCTGGTTTTCGAGCTCTGCGGAGCTTTCTCTCCAAACTGTATTGTTCGCCTTCATACGACGAAAGCCACTTTGCAACACAATCCCAGCGACCCCCCAACCAAGGGTATAGATCTATCTATATAAATAAATAAATAAATAAGTATATATATATATATACATATATGTGGAGCTCTAGAGTTAACTTTGGGTAACCCGGAAGCCAAACTAAACGGAGCCTCGCATGTGGAGCCCTGAGCCCTAAGCCCTCGCCCGAGCATCCTTCCTGAAGCCCAAAGCTCTAAACCCTAAACCCCTAAACCCTTCTAGATCCGCTTAACGGAACCCTTATAGATCCCTTCAAAGGAACCCGTCTAGATCCCTTTAGAAATTTAAGGGATCCAAGATGACAGCCCAAGAGGCGCCGGCGCGCATCAGCCGACCTGTCGGAAGAGGCCACGAAGGCGGCACTTGCCGAGGCCCTCCCTCCCTCAGATGTTCCGAAGCTTTGGGGCGTAGGGCCGGTTTAGGGTTTAGGGTTCCGAAGATTCCAGCATGCCGGAACACACCCAAAGCCCGTGCTGAAAAGGATTCCGAAGGTAGGTTAGGGTCTGGGGTTCCGAAGTTAGCGTTTAGGGTTTTGGGCGTGGCTCTGAGATGATCCGACTAGCTGTTCGAAAAAGGCTATCGGTCAAGGGCCAACGCCGCAGTGGGGATGTTTGCCGAGGTGTCAAGCACGTGCATTGGAAGGCATTTCGCAAAGACAGCTTCACAGAGGGGGGGCGGGAGATTCGACTGCTGGCGCCTAGCTATGTCCACCAAACCAACCCTGAACGCTAAAGCCATTTTGGCTCAAGACCTCGCGGCTCAATTTGCCAAGGCGTCGGCCACAGGTCCAAGAAGATCCCCTCTCAGATCGATTTGCCCATGTCGCATGCTCTCCAGCCCTTTGTCAGCGAAGACATTGAGAATGGCGATGAGCAGACACCGGAAACAGCTGCAGAGCATCGGCCAAGTTGCAAGCGGGCAGCGGGTGGAGTTCTCCTACTCATGATTGCTGGCTGCATGGGTTTGTGGATGGGGGGACGAGCCTGGCATTTCGATCCTCCTCACACCCTCCATGGCCCCGACTTCATCAACTTCCAGAGCGTTCGTGCCGAGGACGAGTTCTTGAACCTGGGCCCGGGATCGGTGTGCCGAGGGGACAAGGTCGATGCCCACCTGGGGCCCACCGGCAGCGAGGGAATGGTGTTGTCTAACACGAACCCGAAGAAGGATGGAGTGAGCCCTGAAAAGTGTGAGGAGCGTTGTGCCGAGTGGTCGGACTGCAAGGGCTACGAGCTCGGCCCTGAAAAAGAGCAGCGCTGCGAGCTTTGGGTTGGGCTTACCCACCATGAGGACCTCTTTGAGCATAACACGGTCTACAACAACAGCAAGGCTTTGAAGATGCACGAGGAGCATTCTCCTCTCGCGGAGTATCACTGTGTCCTCAAGGTCAGCCATAATTCCTTCACCAGCCAATTCGACCGCCTTGCGGAGGGCTGCAAGAACGACATGGTTGAGCAGCACGCGCATGTTCTGCGAGGCCGTCATGCGAACTTCTCGTTAACCTGCGAGAGCGAGGTGGGAGTACCAGGCCATCTTCACTGGCACCCCCACCAATGTATTTCCAGACGCAATAATTCAATTATTAACGCCACAAAGAGGCTTGACCAGCTGATGCAAAATTGCGCGAAGCCCGGGGTTAATTGGTTGCTGATTGCCATCGTCGTGGCTTGCGTTCTCGGACTCGGGGCCCTCGGGGCCATGAGTCAACATCCAGCTGTACAGGCGAAGATCTTTGGTCCGGCCGACACGGGTTTGCCAAACCTCATGGGGTCGCAGCCTGCAGGCAAAGGCCCCCGAGATGCAGGGACTGGCTACAATCCCGTGGACAACTAGTGAAGTTTGCACGTGTTGGCATACGCTTGAGCTCCTTGCGAGGGACGTGCCGTGGGAAGCCCAAAATGCGTGCAACACCCCAGCATGTCCTTCACCGGCGTGCGTCAGCGCGGCAGACTGCGACAGCGCCAGATGCGTCAGAGTTTGGAGGTTGTTGTCTAGGGTACTGTAGTGTAGGTCCCCTGCTCTGCGAAGATGTATTGCTTCCTGCCTTTCTGCCCACATTCCCTGCTGCCGCACCGCGGGGTCTGGAATTCAGTGCAGCTTTGAATCATAGACAGGCGTAGAGCGCCGCAGGGTACTGCTTCTCATGTATGGAACAGTTGGGAGTCGTTGCGACCACCTGTCCACCCAATTGAGACTTACCCATTCGGCTCTTGGTAGGTGTCTCGTGATGAGACTCCTCGATGCCTTGCGCCGGTTGAATGCTTTGGAGCACGTGCAGCACGGTAATCCATCCTTTCTATTTGCAGTGGTTTCAGGCAGCATCTGATTGTGTGCAACACCCCATTGTGCATTGCAGAGATCCTTGTCAAGTAGCAGCGGTCGGAACCTCTTAGCTGCATGTGTGGGCACCGGCAGCAAATTCACGATACAGGCCTTGATTCGCACTAGGGCGTGGGATACTGTAGCATACAGACGCATTCTAGGATTACAGGTTCATGGTGGATACTTGAGGATGTACACGTTTCTTGAATCTAGTCTTGAATCTCAGGCTGCGCCCGAGGGAGAATCGAGTATTAGCTTTCGATGTCGAAGAACAAATGGGCCGCTCCGGGCGTGCAATTCCGGAAGCTGTGGACTTCAATTTCGTCATGTTCATGGGCTTAGAGCTGGAGCTTAGTAGAATGGGGCCCAAAACCCTATTCTAATTGTTACGGCCCCTATGTAGGAAGTTGCCGCATGACAACAAGTCAACAGCGTGGAAGCCCAGCAGCCGCGCGCTTGCAATGTCTGAAGATTTGCTTGCAGAAGATGCTCGCTGCTCGCTGGCTGAAAGTCTTGGATGTGTTGCGAAAGTCTCCGTTGCTTTTCATCTTGACTCCTTCCTTTAGTGTATTTCACTTTGTCAAACTCCGCACCAAATGCCTCGCCTGGATTGTCCGAGTGTGAGCGACGAAACCCAAACCCTGGATATCATCCTGAGAGCCTCCAATTCAAAGTAATCCCTAAACCGTAGCCCCTCTAGCCCCTCACCTCTACAGCCTGATTTCGTCAATGCCTGATACTAATTAGCTTAAATAATTACCAATACTACGGGGGTTCCTTATTGTAAGTATAGTATAGTATGGTATGCCCCAAAACCCTGTTCTAACTATTGAGGCCTCTATAGTAACCCGTCGATGCCCCCCTCTCCAAGCTTGCCCGCTGCCCGTTCACCTGGACAGGCGGAAGCTCATCAAGTGAAGATTCAGAAGCTGAAGCAGGACTGGTTTCAATACGTTTCAAGTCGTAGCCATAGCGCATTGTTGGGCACCCCTTCTATGATCGGAAGACGTGCATGCAGGTATTCGCAGAGAGAGAGAGAGAGAGAGAGAGAGAGAGAGAGAGAGAGAGAGAGAGAGAGAGAGAGAGAGAGAGAGAGAGAGAGAGAGAGCGAGAGAGAGAGAGAGACAGAGACAGAGACAGAGAGAGAGAGAGAGAGAGGGAGAACGAGAAAGGGCTGTTTGGGTTTAGCTACATTTGGAAGCTTTCAGAAATTTGCAAGAGGTCTGCACTCTGTGATGCCGAGGGGTGCGCGCTAAGATCTATAACGCTGCGAACTAGGGCTTTCTATACAAAGAACCGTCGTCCGTAGCTACCCGTCAAGCACTGCCCCGATGCTCCCACGACAACGCCTGGCCACATAAGTCTGCTGCAGCCTGCAGCTTGGATGGTGTGATCATATATGCCCCACGGATGACCCATGAAGCTATGCGCACCATGCACCATCGGTCTCAGACTGGTGCGCCGCGGGGTGCAGCTGCTCCCTCCAAAGACTTGATTAATGAGATGTGCGTTGCTGCCAGTGCTGCTGTTACTGCTGCTGTCGTATAGCCCTCCCCGTCAACATCACCCACCCCAAGCAACATTGGGAACGACAGTTGCTCCAGCAGTCTGCATGAGAGCCAGTGCCTCTCAATCATCTTCAAACAAGAGTTGAAGCAGTTGTGTGCTGGGTGTTAAAGAAGCTTCATCCACTGGGCCATGGTCGTACTGCCGCTGACCCGGCTCCTGGCATGGCATGCTGCGGGCTCCTGGTGCTTGCCCTGGTGGCTCCCAGGGCGGGGAGTCCACCTGTGGGAATTTCCGGAAATTAGCGGTACCTTATTTTGGGGTCCTTATAATAAGGATGCCAGTATTTAGGGTGCTATGAACATTATTAGGGTCCCCTATTTTTCGGAAACTCCCACCTGTGGGAGCTTACGCGGGGAGCCTGGCAGAAGAAGCTCTTTCCCAGGGCGCGTTGCAAACGAGCAGCGAGCAGCCCGGGCTTAGCTTAGCTTTGCAGAAGTCAAAGCAGCCGTCGGAGACTGCCTTGTAACATAGAGGCCGGAATAATTAGAAATGGCATCCATGTATATTATATGTTCCGTAATACAATCAACTGTAGTGTAACTAATGTTGATGTAGTGTAGTAAACGCAAAGAGTCCATAAGCCCTAGCCCTAGTCATTCTAATTATGACGGCCCCTAAATTGTCCGCCGAACATCGAAAAGGCACCTTGGCTAAACGCTCCGACCTTTTCCGCGTTCTCGTCAGCTCTCAGGAATAAGGTTTAGGCTTTTAGGGTTTAGGAGTGAGTGCTGAGGGTTTAGGTCTGGGGTTTAGGGTTTAGTTTAGGGTCATGAACTGAACACCCCAAAAAAGGGTCATGGAAGAGTTTTGGGCAGCGTGCGATTATCCCTCTCCAAGCATGACGCCATCTGAACGTGGCAGGACCTGGAAAAGAAGCGGCAAGGCTTACAGACCAAGCGGGCAACACTCGCAAGCTCTCACGAGGCCGCAGAAAATCATCCTGAACGGGTCATGGTTGAGGGTTTGGGGTAATTGGGGTTTGGGTCGGAGCATCACAGTTTTCAGGCAGCCTCAGCTGGTGTTCCTCAACCGCCCCAAACCAGAAGCCGGAGTGCAGAGTGTTGGGGTTTCGGGGGAGAGTTGGAGTCACTTCGAGCCGTAGGATGCAGTTTTCAAGAAAGAGGCATCGGCAGCCTTGACGTCTCTTCATTTTTCTGCCAAATTGCCGAACTCCTTCAACTCCAGACCCTACGACCCACGCATACCGTAAAGTTCGGAGACCTGCTGGTATCCTTCCTTGATCCGCCACATCAACCTCTGGCGCAGTGTCCATACCCCTACAATGCTTCTCAAATCCCCTACCCTAAACCCTAAATTCTGTAGTACTTCCCTGTGGTGAACTGGCACAAGTGAGAATCGATCTTGTTCTCTTTTCACACCGACTCCGCACCTAAGAACCCGCGCCTGGCTGTGTCCGAGTTGTGAGAGCGTAAACCCTAAATTCTAAGCCCTAAACCCTTAACTAAACCCTTAACTTCCTTACCTAGAAAGTTCCCTGCGGTGCGACATTGTTCAGCTGGTCGGGTGGCAAAAACCTTTGAGACCCAAATATTGCTTTCAGGGCCTCATCAAGGAGTCGCCGATGCCGGCGCCCGCCAAGCGTCCGTACCAGGTGGGGATGTCAGTCAGGCTTTTGGTTTAGTGCTTAGAGTTTACGGGGGTGTGGGACGTTAGGATCGGGTTTCAGCCTTGCCTGCCCCTTTCAGGGTGTAGGGTGCCTGTGCTGGTATCTTGAAACTGTCATGTACCGTTCTTTTTCAATGTTGTTGCAACCAAAAATGCATGAGCACAAACGTTTCAAAACCCACCCACATATGTATATATATATATATATATATGTATTTGTATATCCTGGATTTCAGAGGGCGCCGGTCATTACGCCGCTCACCAGAGTGCTAAAGCCAATCAGGCAGCATAAGGGCATCCCAGAGCTTGAAGCCAAGCCCCAAATCTCTCTGCGCTGGGTGTGGGCCAAATCTGGGAGAGGGGTCCTTGTAATAAGGATCCTACTAGTGAGGTATTACATTAAGGTCTCCTATTTTCGGAAACTCCCATCTGTTAGGCAACCCTTACAGTAGTCGGTTAGGGGCCTCCGCCTGCGCCTTGAGCTCGTTCGAGCAGGCCCCAATGCCGAAGGTCCTCCCGAAGCCTGTTGCCAAGCAGGCAGCGAAAGGCACCTCTCCATGTCTTCGTTTGTTCGTGGCTTTGTTCTTCCGACCTGTAGGTGCCGGCTGCCGTTGTAGTTTTGGGTCGCTGTTGTGTTGCAGTGGTCAAGCCCAACCAGAGCGGAATACATGTTATTGTAAGATCATAAGATCCTTGAGTTTGCTGCCTTGCCGTGAGCACTAGTGACAATAGTGACGCATCGCTCATGGTCGCTGTTCTAGCAGCACCGCATCGGAGTCGTCGTGGCGGTAGTGGTGTCGTCTTGCTGGTGGCGATCGTGCATGGTCGTGGTTGTGATGCTGGATAAGCTTGATGATGGTGACGGTGGTCGTCGTCGGTCGTGGTCGGCGTTCCCTCCTTCTGTTCTGTTACCTGTTGAGAGTGCCCTTTGCGTGTCTGTCGCATGAGTCAGCACAGTGCAGAACGGTTCCTAAAGCCTTGATGAGCTCAAACATGTCGAAGCCGCATCAGCCCTGTATGCATACGACCCTTGATACTGCGCTCTCACTATCCATCACGAGTGGCATCCCGGCATATCGTAATGCTCCTAAAATTGCGAGCTTGCCGGTATTTTCAAGAGAGGTCCGGCCACTCCCGTGGACGCTCCTTCCGAGAGTGAGGCCGTCTTGGTAATGGCACGAGCTCCGTACTGTTCAGTTTCAAGGGCTTCATTCGCTGCCTGAAAAAAGGGTTCAGTGGCTGTGTTTGCAAGAGTTGTGCCAGCAGATATCGCCACCGCCGCCGCCGCCACCACCACCACCACCACCACCACCACCACCACCACCACCACCACCACCACCACCACCACCACCACCACCACCACCACCACCACCACCACCACCACCACCACCACCACCACCACCACCACCACCACCACCACCACCACCACCACCACCACCACCACCACCACCACCACCACCACCACCACCACCACCACCACCACCACCACCACCACCACCACCACCACCACCACCACCACCACCACCACCACCACCACCACCACCACCTCCACCTCCACCACCACCACCTCCACCTCCACCTCCACCTCCACCTCCACCTCCACCTCCACCTCCACCTCCACCTCCACCTCCACCTCCACCTCCACCTCCACCTCCACCTCCACCACCACGACCACGACCACCACGACCAAGACCACCACGACCACCACCGCCACCACCGCCACCACCGCCACCACCGCCACCACCGCCACCACCGCCACCACCGCCACCACCGCCACCACCGCCACCACCGCCACCACCGCCGCCACCGCCGCCACCGCCGCCACCGCCACCGCCACCGGCACCAGCACCAGCACCAGCACCAGCACCAGCACCAGCACCACGACCACCACCACTCACCACAATTACGACTACCACTCCTCCTCCTACTACTACCATCACGACTTAATTCTACTGCTTCTACTATATATTTACTAAGACTGGTGCCGCTAACGCTGCACTGGCACTGCCACTGCCACCATCACCACCCCGACCGCACCAACCACTGTCAGTGCCTCGCAGCCGCGCGGCTTCTCCCACTTGGACCTAACATCGAGCGTATTCTGCGCGATCAAGTACTCCATGTCAGCAGGTGGCCTTGTCCGAACTTCGTGAGCGACTGCTCCGGCAGCGTGGGGAGGCTGGGTCCGCCGTGGGAAAGTTCAGGGACATGTGAGCATGTCTCAAGCTCCGATGCCCTCGCGCAATTTGGAAAGTCTTGCGGCATCGCCTGAAGCTTCTGGTAAAGCGGCTCCTGTCCTATCATCCGGCTCTTGCCGTTTGCAATGATATCGCCTGGGCGGAGCGGGCTGTGTCCTGATTGGTTTCTGTTCCTTAGTGCCTTAATGATACAGGAGACCGAAGCCTGAAGTCGGCCCGAGGAGGAATAGTAGACAGGAGGAACCGAAGGTATCAGGAAGAGTCGGAGGAATGGTGGAATAGTGGGAGGAATAGGAGGAGGAAGAGGAGGGAGTGGGAGCAGGAAGCAACAGCAGCACGGAGCAGGAGCCGCAGCCGTAGTCGCAGTCGCCCTCGTCGGAGGCGGAGGAGGGGGAGGATGGGGAGGAAGAGGGGAGGAGAAGGTAGCAGTAGTAAAAGTCCCAGTCTTCGTTCCAGTATGTGTTGCTTGCCAACAACACGAGAGGCGTTTGCATTAGCCAGCCGCTGACAACGTGATGAAAACAACCGCGAGTTATTGTTCCTTTGAAAGCCAGTCACGCCCATTTAATGTTGTAGGTTGTTGTAGTACTGGTGCGGTACCTCTTCTGCATGCTGCAGGCTGCCGCCGCATCGAAGAAGCAATCCCAGGCTCGATACTCGAGACACCACCCAGAAGCCTTTTCGACTGTGCCAATGGACGAGACGGGGGCTTGTGTATTGACATAACACGTACCGCATGGTATTGTTAGCAATAATCTATATATCGGGATAAGCATCATAAGATGACAGTGGAAGGTGGCGGTGTGGTGGACTGGAGCATTTTACAAAAGAGCTTCCTATCCTGTCAAAAGCTTGCGGACAGCTCCCCCGAATCGTCACCTGCGGGAGTCCTACATGGGTCCGACATGTTCCAACCATCACCCAAGGAGGATAGCCACATTGGCAACAAGTCGCAGCGAATTCGCAGGGTCCACTCCCAATCTTTTCATCAACCAAGACACGGATTTCTGACAAGGCTGCTCTCGTGTGATGTTTGCCATCATGTTGTCCCTTTGTCTGTAGATCTCTGCAGATGTAGAAATATCACTTACGTCGAATTCCCGGAGACAGCCACTCTACACCCAAACCAAAAGCTAAACCCGAAACCCTAACCCTGAACTCTAGACCCTAAACTCTCAGACCTAAACCCTTCCTACTTGGAAAACACAACCTGAAATCCTAAACTCTGTAACCCTTAACGCTAAACCCTAAACTCTAAATTCAAAACCCCCAAACCCCTTAAAAACCCTAAACCCCGTAACCATGAACCCTTTGTCGAAGAGGCCGCGGCCTTCGGCGAGGCACCGGCTCCTGCACCCGCCGAGGTTCCAAGCATCTCGTGGTCACGGTTTAGGGCTTAGGGTTGTCTGGCTGTAACCGGGCTGCTGGACAACGAGGCCTGCTGCAAAAAGGGTTGTTAAGGGTTTACGGTTGCTTCAAGGGGCTTTCGAGGATTTTTAAGGGGTGAGGGCTTTTTAGTTGGAGTTGTGCGACTGTCATGTTCCTCCACCGCCAGTTTAGGGGAACCTCAACGCAGCAGAATCAAGTGCATGCCAGATTACCTACGCTTCTGAGCCAAATGCGCCTTGATTGCGACTGAGCCAAACTCTAGGCCCAAAGCCCACAAACCACACTTAAATGAGAACTGTACCGAAACCCAAAACCTGTCCAGCCCAAATGGGGCTTTCCAAAAAATAGGGGTACCTTATTTTGGGTAGGGTACTATAATTAATATTAGGGCCCCCTATATTAACGGAAACTCCAAAAAGCACCGCCAGGCCGAGGAAGTTCTGACGCCGCCGCCGCGCGCCGCGCGGCGGGAAGGCCGTGAGCGCCGTGAGCCGTGGCCGTCCAAGGAGGCTCTGCGACGAGGGCAGCCCTGTTTCTTAGGGTTAAGGGTTCGGCTTAGGATTGAGGATTTGAGGTTTCAGGGACAAGGGTCTAGGGCGTCGCAGAGATGCTTAAGTTCTTTGAGCTACTAGCTTTGAGTTTGAGTGTTTTGGAGTTCAGGATTTGGGATCAGGCTCGGGGTTTTGATGGTTTTAGGTTATAGTTGCGGCCGGCCGTGTGTTTCATGTGAGTGGTTTGATCGTGAGGCTTCGCGATGGCCGAGGTAACCACAAAATCAAGACTCTTGTTCCTGCTGGTTACTGCTGGTTGTTCCGAAGCTTCCGACGATCCTGCAAAGGAGGAAGCGGCACCCGTCACACCGCCACCGAAGAGAGCTGCTTTGAAGGCCCTGGCCGTATCTTGCAGTGAAGCCCCATAGATGCGCTCGGCAGTATGTATTTTTAAAGTCCGAGATGCTTGCAAATCGTGGCCATTCCACTCTGTCCGTTTTGGGTGACGTGCAGTCAAAACTGATTGTCGCGACATGAGGGTTTAGGGAAGTTCGTGTTGCAGTTCGTGAGAACAGTGATTTTTTGTCAGATTTCGGATTGCTTCGTGTTGCGCTTTACATGCTGTAGGACCGTGGTGCCCTGGGACTGTTGTCTAACACAGAGGCCTTATAATAATCACCTAGACGATTCTGAGGGATCCTTATTGCAATTATGGTTATTAACGCCCCTATATATTAGTTTCCGAAAGTAGAGACCCTAATATAGCACCCTAAATAGTAGGATCCTTATCATGGGGACTCTATCATAAGGTACCCCTAATTTTCGGAAACTCCCATATTGCCACTTGCACAGTAACATGCAATGTTCCGTTTGCCGGATGTGGGTGGCGGCCTGAACGTAGCAAGTCGCTGTGAAGCTGCGCGTTTCTCAAGCACACGGCGAAGGGATGAAGTCTAAACTTGTTGACTTCTACTTTCATGGATGCCCGAACCCCTAATATAGCAGCCTAAATCGTTAGAATAGGGTTTTTGGGGTGCACTATACTGTAGTCTAGAGAGACTTTCTGACTCATACGTAAGAAGCTGTCACATGGGCCCTTTGCCCCCCCTCAGATCTAGAACAGGCGAGACTTGGAGTGTAAGACAAGCAAGCCGATTGGATCCAAAGAGCGCCCACATCATCAACCGTCTAAAATCGGGGGCCTAATTTGTAGCATTTTTTGCCGAAGAGTTCCTTAATATCTTCATAGTGTAGCATCCCCCAAACCCTAGTCTAGTTCGTTTGACCCTCTATTATTACAACAGAGCTCTACAGAACTCCCTCTGAGCCTCATACTTGAAACTTGGTGCTTTCGGTTTAGGGCCACAGCCCACCGCAAAAGAAGAGCCGCCGAAATTCCTGCCTCTTCAGTAGCAAGCCCAGACCCCAACGGCCCCAAGCCTACCCAACCCTAAACCCCTAGGCGTCTTCACCTTAAACAAGCCTTACGTATAGTCTCCATTGTAGTTCCTTTTTTGGTTAAACCACATTCATATTAAGGAGCCCAAAAGGTAACCCCAAAAAGGAACTACAATGGAGACTATAGGTAAACCCTAAAGCCATAATATATGAGTCCTTAGAGCCTTAGGGTTAAACCCTGAGCATCCCTAACCCCCTCGACATCTGCGGCCATGTGGCCGAAGCTTCGTCCGGCAGCCGCGCTTCTGAGGGAGACTGGGGAGCACGGTTTCAGAAAGGTTTCGGGTTGGTTTAGGGTTTAGGGTTTAGAGTTTAGGGTTCAGGGTTGAGGGTGCATGAGTTTTAGGGGCTCTCCCTGACTTCGGCATTGACACGTGTGAGGCGGAGGAGTGTGTGATTTACAAGTTCAGGACCTCCTCTTCGAGTGGCGCGTGAGTCTTTGGAAGCTAGATGGAGGGTGTGGAGGCTCTATGTCGTGCGTCCGAAACCCGACGCCTCGAAACGTTGACCTCTTCCAAAAAACCTAGCACTACTTGAAGCGCTGCAAGAGGCCTCGGATAAGCACTGTGCTTGCTTCAGCTTCGCTTGCAGACGCTCTTTATCGAAGTGGGCTTACCATGGCTCACCAGCCGTGATCCCCTAGGAGGCCCCTTAGTTGTGGTGTAGTGGTGACGCACAGAGCATCCTGGAACTGGAACCCCGAAGCTTTGGCATATAATGTGGTGTAAGATTACATAGGGCCCCTAAAGGGATGTTACTATGTAGTATTGCTTGTGACGAGAAACATTACCAGTCACCAGTGCTATCATCACTATAACGATTATTGTGTGTTGTTTTTCTTATGTACAGTGTTAATATAACAGTGTTCTTGATAAAACTTCAATCACTACGACAAAGCCTACAGCTATGCTTGTTGCTATTACTAGTACTAGTCCTGTGGTTATCACCATGTGTTTACTATTGTCATTTCTATGCGGGAATTTCTAGCATCCTAAATAGTAGGATCCTCATTATCACGACCCCGAAATAAGGTACCTAATTTTCGTTTTGGAAACTCCCAATCTAGACCCGGCACGAAGGCGAGCCAATGGGAGCTGCTCCGGACGAGACTTCGGCCTGGAAGTGCAAGCAGAAGGCGATCGGGCGTACATGGAGGATCATGGGGCTTAGGAAGTAAGGTTGCGCATACCTCAATTGCGGTTAGGCGTTATGATAAGTATGCTTGACCTGGTTGATTCAGGTTGCAAGTACCTTAATTGGGGTTATACACGATTATAAGTTTGCTTGACTTGACTGCGGCAGCCAGGAAATTCTCGCTTTGTCTTTGCGAGACGCGGTGGTGTATCGAACCCATCGTCCTCTGCTGCTCTTGCCAGTCATTGCCTCACTGTTCATGATGTTGATAATGATGAGAATGATACTAAGAGTAACCACAATAATAGTAAGAGGAAGAGCGACACGAAGAGCGAAATAGTTCCGGTTGCCACTTTAGTAATATCCCCTTTGTGTCTATCAAGACTATGTGTAGAAGGTTGTAGTGATCGAGCGGTCGTCTCAAGTCTGAGTCGTTTTTCATGTTGAGTCGGCAGTCTCCAGCTGTCCAAAAACCTGAATACTCTCTTGCAGGAGCCTTTAAGCGCTCCCCAAGAACACCTTCTCTGGCCCGTAGAAAGTTTTTGAAAATTCCGCTAAAGTTCCCTTCCCTCCGGAAGCTTTCATCAAGATCCACCAACGCACGACCTTTTTAGTAACTAGTATTAAAAGAGAGAGAGAGAGAGAGAGAGAGAGAGAGAGAGAGAGAGAGCGAGAGAGAGAGAGAGAGAGAGAGAGACAGAGACAGACAGAGAGAGAGAGAGAGATACACACACACACATATATATGTATATATATATATATAAATATATATATAAATATATATATATATATATATATATAAATTAGTTAGTATAACATATATATATATATACACATAATGTCATGGTTACCATAACTCCTTTCTTGCCTCTCGGGTTTTCGTTGGCGCGGCTGCTGCTCTGAAGGTGGCTCTGCTCGGCAGCTGCGCCGGTGAAGATCTCCAAGGAACGGCTTTTGGGGTTGAGGGTTTAGCAGTTTAGGGCGTAGGGCCTGACAGCGACTGAGTGCCCTGGAGAGAGAGAGAGAGAGAGAGAGAGAGAGAGAGAGAGAGAGAGAGAGGGCTTAGGGCCGTATTGCAGGGCCTTTTCTTAGAATAGGGTTTCAGGGCGGGGCGTAGGGTTCTATAGAATCTTTCCGGGGGTTACGAAAGTCTATGACGAAACGGGCTTGGGGTTTGCGATTTGGGTTTTTTTACGTGATCAGGGTTTCTGACGATCGGTTGATAGTTGGTGCGTGCGTGTTCTGTAGCTCAAACGACAGCAGAGTGGCCCGGCGTGGCGCAGTCCTGTCACGTTGTCAACCCAGAGACTCCGATATCCCTTAATTAAGGTATATACTTTAAATTATAGTAGGATCCTTAATGTGATTTAAGGTATTTTCCTCCATTTAGGGATATTGGAGTCTCTGGGAAGTCAGGCAGTCGATGCAAGAGCTGCCTAAATTCCTTCGAGTGTGAGTGTGGAAGAGTTGAGCTCACGAAGCCTATTGTAATCACCCCAAACCTTTAGCCTTAAACCGCGCCCGCCCTCACATCCTAAATCGCTCAGCTCCTGTTTCACAACCCACACAAGCATTTGTTCGCCGCTTCTCTGTGAAAGGAACGCCTTCATGAGTTTCTGCAAGCGGAGGCTCGTGCCTAAGGGCGGTTAGACGTCCTCAAATACATGAGACAATTAGGTTCGACATGAGGGATCATGGATCTGCAGGGGCCGTCGTGTGGGCCCATATCAGGAAGGAGCCGGTTGGTCTTTTTTGGTACTGACTTTTGTCTGTATGTTGATCTGTCGCACAGTCCGTGTGCTAAGACCATCATGCGATTGCACAGGTCCTGATGCAAAACGAGACTCAGGGTTTAGGAGTTCATGACCTGGGGCGCATACGGCCACTACTACCATTCCTTCCACCACCGCGACTATGACCGCTACTACGGCTACTAGCGACCACCACCACCACAAAAGGCCACGTCGACGACGACTACTACTAGCATGAAGCAGAGGTATCCTTGCTGGAGCGTCACGGGAAGGGTGAGTACAGAAGTGCTGAAAACCACTAGAGTAGAAGCCGCATTAGACTCCTATGGTATTCAAGAGGACACTCCTATGTGCGAAACTTCCCGAGCCCTATCCAAAGTTGGCAGAAGTTGTGCAAGACCCCATGAAAGACTCGGATTTGGCACCTCCCCTCAATGTTAGTTCAGCCCTAAACCTTTCAATCCTACAAGCCCAGCCCAAGCCTTCAAAATTCGATCTTTCAGGTGGTCTTCTTTGCTGGGCTGGAGCCGAAATCCATCACTCTCCGGCAGAGCCCAGCATGATACTGTAGGGCTTATTTGCCAGTTTGAATTGGAATGTATAGTCGCCGTGTCAGCCCAATTCTATTGATAATTCTATTGATTACGGAGGCTCAAGTGACGAGGCTTTGCCGTTCATCTAGTAAGGTATGCTTCAAGTTTGGAGCAGCAGGCGAGTAAGACGCGATGGCAAACCAGTCAAGCTTGCGACAACATCGTGACAAGTGCCCTTGTGGCCCAAGAAGCTTGAAGATTCCGCGGGCCAGCAACACAAAGTGCATGTCCCACCATCCACCAGTCCCAAGAGAAGTCGGCTCTGCCATGATGCTCTGGTTTCAGACAAACCCCATAGCCCGTGCACGGAAAGCCCACCCTTAAGCCCTTAGTTAAGGCACATTAAGGCCGAGCTCCGCAGCCTCAGCGTGCGTCCACCGCCCTTCAGCCCCAAATGCCAGACCTACCACGAAGCCCGATCTAAGGATCCTCGACGCAAAGACTCCGAAGCAAGCGGCGAAGCTTGCATACCGAGCACCTAGGCTTGAACTCGTCAGTGACTCAAGACCAACTTGTATTGACGTTGCTGCAGCAGCATGAGAAACTTCAGTTTCCTACTTGATTTCAAAATACATTCATTCGTCGATTCTGCCTGCTCCGCTAATTTGTTTTGGTTCGCTGCCCGTGACTGTTAGTGTTGCTGTCGCCGTTGCAGGTCATGCTCATTTTTGTGTTGGGATCTGCCCCCGCCCAGTAACAGTGGGAAACTACTTTCCTTATATATACACCCGCAGAAAAAGCACAACTGTTTGGAGGCCTCTGGAGTTCCCAGTTTTGGGGGGCCCCAACTGTTCAGCAGGTTTGGGAGTTTCGGGAGCCCTCGCTTTAGATTCCAAAGGTTGGCATTTGGAGTTTCCAGATTTTGGGGGCCCCAACTGTTGACCAGGTTTGGGCATTTGGAGTATCCAGTATCCAAAACTTGGGGGCCCCAACTGTTCAGCAGGTTTTTGATTTCGGGAACCGAGAGTTCCAATTCGGTAATTAGCCCAAAGGCAAATAGTGGAGGATTGAAGAATTGATGCTTGGTGCTTTCGGAGGGTTTAGGATTTCTGCAGAAAATCGACGAGAGTTTCGGAATGCGCCCGGCCCCAGGCCAGCAGGGCCAGGGTGCTATCTGGCCAGGCCAAATCTGCAAACTAGATTGCAAAAGGGAGCACAAGAAAAGCACAACTACTTTGCTTGAAATTTGGATCAGGCCAGCAGTTTGCCCGAAATCTCCAAACTAGAACGCAAAAGTGAGCACAAGAAACGCACAACTGTTTTGCTAAAGTGAGCACAAACCCGACCACAAACTCCAAAATCCAGCACAAGAAAAAGCACAAACTAGAGCACAAGAAAAAGCACAAGAAACGCACAACTGTTTTGCAACCCAGAGCACAAGCCCGACCACAAACTCCAAAATCCAGCACAAGAGAAAGCACAAACTAGAAAATTCTAGTGACTCTCGAGTGCGGCCCGGGAAGCAGCCTATTGAGTTTTAATTTGAAAAAAGCACAAACTAGAGCACAAGAAAAAGCACAAGAAACGCACAACTGTTTTGCAACCCAGAGCACAAACCCGACCACAAACTCCAAAATCCCGCACAAGAAAAAGCACCATCTAGAGCACAAGAAAAAGCACAAGAAACGCACAACTGTTTTGCCAAAGTGAGCACAAACCCGACCACAAACTCCAAATTCAGCACAAGAAAAAGCACAAACTAGAGCACAAGAAAAAGCACAAGAAACGCGCAACTGTTTTGCAACCCAGAGCACAAGCCCGACCACAAACTCCAAAATCCAGCACAAGAAACGCACAACTGTTTTGCGATTTGGAGCACAAGAAACAGCACAAACTAGACGAAAACTTCCAATTTACAGCAGAACCCAGGATTGCCTTTTAAATTGGTCAAAAGGTGCCAGGCCTGGGGAGGCCCTGGGAGGCCCTGGACGGCCCTGCCAGGTCTTAGGAGCTGCATCAGTCGTTCTCCCTCCCGCCCTCACCACCCAGAATCGCCCCATCCCCTGGGTCCACGTCCGATCCATCCACCCAGGCCCCCCCGCCATCCCTGGCTGCGCGTAGAGGGAATGGAACGAAATGTTTCGGTTGAGGGTTGCAGCCCAGTGACTAATTGGAAACGAAAATTGTTCTGGGCCTTGCGTTCGGCAGATTTCGATTTTGCTGGGAGGGGAAGCATGGTTTCGGGGCTTGTTTTGTCAAAGATTTAGGTTTCACACTCAGCTCTCCTGGCTGTCCATTTTTCATATTTGGAAAACCGGTGAACCTACTAGATTTTCTTGTGCTTTTCGTTGTGGTTCAAATTGTGACAACTGTTATTGGGCGGGGGCAGATCCCAATTTTTGTGTTCCTTTTATCCGTTTATTTGTGCAGCCAACGTGTCAATGTCCAAGAGCATGGTTCCAAAATTATACCCACCCTGAACCCTGCCCGGGCCTACCCTTTGCGGTATGATGTCAAGGCATACCCGAGATAGTGGCTGGGAAAGTGTAGGGCTGTCAGCCTGTCGATCGACACGTGACTCATCTTCACCACTTTCACATAGTTCACGGTCCGTGTCGATGGTTTCGGGCACTTCGAGATTCAGAACACTCTTGAAGGTGTTCAAGCATTCCTCGGCGTGTGCTTCGATGAGCTCGCTGAAAGCATGTCCGTCACCACTCCATAGCTTATCCATCGAAGCTCGGATGTCTGCAGCCTGGAGTCTGGCTAATGTCGTCGACTACTTAGGGGTACTTAGAAATACTTTTTAGTTTTTTTGGCTATTATAGTCTCTAAGAAACAGCTAAAACTATAATTTTTGCTAGGGTTCTAAGTTCAGTATAGTATAGTCGTCTACCAGGCTTCAGCTTTGTATGGATGTTGTGAGCCATCGAGAAGACCCTGCATTGACCCTGCATCGTAGGTTCGTCCTAGCCAGATGGGATTCAAAAAGGATCCTATAAAACCTAAGACCTTGAACCCTAAGCCGTTACATTTATTCATTCTTGTTTCAGGAGAGCTGGACTCTGTTTAGGGTTCTGCGTTTCTGCCGTTAATTGTTTAGGTTTTAGGGCTGTTCGTTTACACGGTCCCGGTACGGGTTCTTTTAAAGGAGATCCATAAAGGGTATTATTGATTGAATCTTTTCAGACCATAACGCATGACGCTTTTATCGCAGGCCCACATTCTCCGTAGACAGCCCCATCCCACCCTTATAAGCACCTTATAAAACCCTCTATGATGCAGTTCTGTAGGGTTATTTATCAGAGTTTTTGTAGAAGCTACCCCCAAGACTGACCCTATTCAAATGTTTAAGCACTGAGAACCTAAGTCGCCGATGTCGTGTTGAGGAGCTCCCCATCCGCTACGCGCAGCGGCGCCTTGATCCGAAGAACTGTTTGCTGTAGTTAGAAATCAGTTTGCAGGGTTCAGGGTGTTGAAGGCTCATACTTATTGATGGCGTTTTGATGTGAAGTGGGGCTTGTATCAGGTCTCTGGTGAATTCATACAGAGATTTTTAGGATGTTGGTGAGTGTTTAGTTTCGGGATGCGGTCAATCAACACGCTACTTGCTCTGCATGGAGAGAGACCTCCACCAGAGCAGATCGAAGGCTCGCTCTCCCTGTGGGTTTAGGGTTTAGGGGTTTAGGGTTGAGGGATTGGGGTTTAGGGTTTAGGGGTTAGCGTTTAGGGGTTTAGGGTTTAGGGGTCTCTCTCTGTGCTATGCCGTCTGCCTTTGCCAGTCCTTTCATGCAGCGTGCGTCATATGTGTGTTTAAAACTAGAGAAGTGTGTGGTAAGCGCCCTGTCTCGTTTATTTGGCCCTCAACTCAATCCTTTTGTAGCCTCCCGCAGGCTCAAGCATTGATAGCAGAATGGCACAAGATTGTAATTCATCCAGATCGTCTAGACACACAGATGATAGACGCAATACGTGCGCAAACACACTCTCCAACCTCGTATATTCACAAATCCGCATGTATGCAATGTGTTTCCTTGTGCGCATCTGCCCAAAAGGAATTATCTACACTTACCATGGTTTGGGGCAATTACACATCATCTCGCTTTATCTCCCACATTTCGCCGTATGTATGTGCCGAGGCTTGGCAAGCCAGTCCAGTGACAGAGCATATCGGAACCAGCGTCGAACATGTTCTAAAGTCGCCGACCAGGTATAAAAAGATACTTTACAGGTAGTTGCAGATGCAGGCGTGTAGCATTGACGTTCAGGTGCATCAGGACATTCAGGATTGTGTGCTCTTGGACATTCCGCGTGTAATCAGGGAGATGTGGCATCGACATTCGGTGGTCGTTACTTGGAGTGCTTGCCCTTCGGAGTGGAATGATGCGGTGTTACGGTTTTCGGGCCTCAGCTGAAGAGCAGCGGAGGGCAGTGCTGGCAGTCATCAAGTCCGGTTTCAAAAAAGGCGTGTAGAGCTAGCAGTCAAGACAGAGCTTGAACCCTAGCTTGGATCTCATGATTCAAGGGTTTAGTGTTGAAGTCCTGGGCCGATAGAGTGTTATCGGCTGCCGCTGACGTGCAGCAGGCAGTACTGACATCAGCAGAAGCCTCAACCCGATTCGATGCAGTCGCCGGATAATTCGGGATCCAAAGTCTGTCAGCTGCTTAAGCCCCAAAATCTTCGCTCCTTTAAACATCCTAAGTTCATATTGCCTCACCTGTCTCGTCCTAAACCCAAGCCCAAACCCACAGACTCCTAAACCCTGCAGCCAGGGACATATCCCTTGATACTGCAACAGGGAACAACCACTACGGAGAATGCATAGGGGATCCTAAACACTACTAAACACGAGCCTTAAACCCGAATCGTCAGGTTCAGGGTTTGGGCGTAGGCTCAGCGCCGGGGGGCAGCAGTGCTTTTTTGCAAGAAATAAGTGGGGGAGAAGATAAACTCCGGATCCTAAACGCGAACTCTTCGGGGTGCTTGGACTTTCTTTTTCTTGGTTCCTACAATCCTTAAGAAACAGCAAAAGCTTAATTTTGGCTAGGGGTTTAAGTTCAGTATAGGAAACCGGAGGAGGCAACCCTAAACCCAGGAACCGGAACCCTAAACACTAAATCCGTACGGCCCTAAAACCCTCAGATCCTAAACTTTCAACCAGAACGGACTAAACCCTAAGCCCTACGGCCCTAAACCCTAAGCCCAAGGATCCTTGCGAGTCGAAAAGGGGCCGTTAGGAGAAAAAAACCCTAAGCCCAGGATCCTTCAGATCGAGGGCCTTCCTGGCTGGGAAGCTGCGCCGGAGCTCGTGGAGGCTCACGGAGCTGGGGCTCGGCACGGGAGGTGTGGAAACTTTCTGTAGCCTCTGGAGGGCAGCGGAGGGGTATATGATGTACTATACTGTACTCTGGGTGGTATTATGTTATATAACTATAGAATTTGTTATATGGCATCAGGGCCACTAGGGGTTCTTAGCATGAGGATCCTACGATTTTCATTGCTTGGTGTCTCCGATAGGTTTGCCGTGCTTCCCAAAGTGCCAGATCCTCATTTTCAGGCCTTTCGGCCTAGTCTTTGCATCTACCCTACATACGATAAGCCAACTCGCATGGTTATATGGAGCCGCAATGCAAGCTACCAGCAGAAATAAGTTACAACCTGGCAGCTTTCACTTCTCATCCTTCACAGAACGGTCATCATGATCCTCATCCTCCTCCGCCTCCTCATAATTCTCTTCCTTGTTTCTCTGGCCGGAGAGACCCTCGCATTGCTTGAGGTCCACCGGCTGTACTCGGAGAACTTCAAAGACATCCGTGCCCTGCCCGCAGAGCTGCGAACAGTTTCGCAGATGCAGCTTCACAGCTTCGATGCCGAAGGCCCCTGGATCCGAATTTCTTTACCGAGACAGGGATGTTACGGTCATCTTTGAGGATACGGAGTGCGAGGCCTCAAGTCTCTCAGGTTTCTTGCTATTCTATGCCCTACATGACCTGTTGCAAAGAGCACAGACCCCACCCTCTACGACTTGTAGTTTCATGACCTTGTCTGGCCTGAAGCATGCCGGAGAGGATGCAATTGCAGCTCTGGGTTTTACCTGGAGCAAGACAACTCATTGCACAAGTGGCTCCGGGCTTAAAGCCAGTTGGGCACGGAGTGCAGGTCCGTAGTGGCGGTGTAGTTGAAGCAACATCGCGAACCCTTATTTCAATAACCCGTAGCAAGGGCTTCGGGTGGAAGGTCGGCGGTTCGTGGGGCTCTCAGCCTGCATCCTAAGCCCGGATCCGTCTGCACCAGCTTTCACATGAACTGCAAGGACTGGTGGATTTGGACATGGAGGCCCCGCTTCCAACAAGTGCCGGGGGTCGAAGCAGCAGAAGTCCTTGAACGGAATGCCCAAACGGAGCACCCGAAACAGACCGCTCTTTAGGGCTTCTTCGCATGAGATCATGCGTCTCGGAGTCATATTATCATGTTTGGGCTAGCCCTAAATCCAAAACCTTAAACCTAAACCACATACCTATGGAACCTCGCCTGGCATGTCCGAGTTGTGACGACATGCCGCGCCTGGCCCGTCCGAGTGTGAGTGCCGAAACCTAAACCGTGGGCTTCAATTCTTCGGGGTGGGCTGGGTTTGGGCGCCAAAAGGAGCCCTTTGGAGTGTTTTGCGGTTTTCGGCTTCACCAGCAGTAGTATGATTACCAGCAGCATTTGTACTACTATCATCATTTAATTTTTTAGCATACCTAATATCAATAACTTTATGTCTATACCATAATATTATTACTAGATATGAAGGCCTTTCACTCTTGAGGGCTCCTGGAACCTGAATGCCCTGAAACGACCGCGAGGCCATCAGGGGAGCCAAATGCCAGGCTCCGGTTTTGGTAGCATAGCTTGGCGTGTAGGGTTTAGGGCTATGAAGGGCCATCTACATGTTCAGGAAATCGGGGTACCTGCGCGAAAAGAGAAGTTGTTTTGGGGGTACCAGCCCTGGACCCCAAACCCAAGACATCTCGTACACCGAAACTCCCAACAAGGCCGGATCCCCGAGCGTCTTCGAAGATGGAGGTGCTTAATGAATCATAGGCCTTTCGGGATGTTTAGGGATTGGTGTTTAGGGAAGGGTCTAAGGTTCAGGACTTGTAGTGGAAGGCCCTATCCCTCTCCTCATATCAGGACTTAGAGCCTTTCACCTCGGTCATCGAGACCATCAAGGGCCGCATGAAGGAGGTCATCCCAATGCTGGCTGCCCGGCTGATCTTTATAGGGCTGAAGAATCGGATCAAGGGCTCAGGATTGCAGGGGGCCACAGGGGCACGTCTACGCATTCATTCGCCTTTGAAGTTTCGGACACCGAGGCACTGACGTACATTTGAATGAAAGCCGCGAGTGTCAGCAGGTGGAATCGTCTCCAAACCAGCAACGTAGACTTGAAAGCTGCAGCCGACGGTCGAGTACGCAGGTCATTTAACAGTATCCAGTTAAAGTCGTCATAGTACAGTGTACCCCGAAACCCGATTCGAATCACGACACCCCGCATATGAAAGCTTCGCTCCGAAAAGGGAAGCTGTCAACTTAGTTAGGACAAGGAAACATAATGTCATGGCTAAGCGCAGCGCAGATCATCGAATCAGAACATTGCAGACTTCAGACAGTGCAGTTGCCGGGCAGATTCCTGCTAAAAGAACATTCCAGCAGGTGCAAACTGCAGGTAGTTTCCGGCTAAAGCTTCAATTCCCAAACCTACACTTTTTTAAACAAAGGCGGTTCGGTGTCGAGTCTTGGATGGCAGCAAGACCTTTCGGCCCTTACTGAGCGAAGCATTCCATGAATGAGGAGTCGGTTCGAACTTGGGGCCTAAACTAGAACTAAGCCTTCAAACCCCTCAACCCTATACCCTCAACCCTCTCAACCCTAGGCCCTATGCCCTTAACATCCCTTAACCCTAAACCCCGTAAGATCTCAACACCGAGCCCCCCTGGAGGCGACCTCAATGCGGAACCTCCAGCAGGCCGAGGGCTTCCCGGCTCAGAGGCATCTCCGGTTCTGGGCTTTGGCGCCCAGGGGGATTTGGCATCCTCGAAAGCTTCAAGCACTAGGTTCACCAGGTTCCCTGATAACATGATGATGATCATGATGATGATCATGATGAGGATGATGATGGCGGCGATGGTGGTGATCATGCACGCGCTAGCAGCTACCAGCACCAGCAACAGTGGCCCCGCCAGCAACATCACCATCATTATCGAATCCTTGATTGGTTGTGACAACCTTGAATTTCGTCTAAGCTTTCCAAATACCCAAATCCTGAATTGCAAAGCCTTCGAACCCGAAACCCGAGGCTACCCAGAGAGGGAGATCGTCCAGTGGCTCGACTCCTTCTTCTTGTCGCGCATCGGAACCGACTCTTAGCTGGTCTGGCCGCACGAGAAAGTGGGGTTTAGGGCTTAAGGCTTAGGGTTTAGGGCTTATAAGGGGTTTAGGGCTTAAGGCTTAGGGCGCCCGAATGGTTAGTAGTTCCTCGGTAGTATATACCCAGAATTCCGTCTAATCCTCACTCCTAGTAGTACTATTCCGAGGACTCCTTCACTAGAATGTGTCCGTTAAGGTATCTATCTCATGCTAGGTTGCGAGGTGTAAGTATACTGCAGCATACCTTAACACCACCACCCTGTTGCAGGTTGGCACTACGGTAGTCTATTTGAGATTTTGAGGTTCAGAGATGGGGATCTAGGCTTTTGGGTTTAGGTGGGCCTTATGGGTTGTGTGAAGAAATTCGAGGGCTTCCACTTCGGTTCTAGGAGCCCGAGACATAAGGCGGCAAAGCGCCAGAAGACCCCACGACCTCCAGGCGAAACGCCGCTGAAATCCTTAAACCCACCCGGCAAGAGTTGGGAGTTTCCGAACATAGCGGACCCTGTATAATATAGTACCCTCAATAGTAGGATCCTGATTATAAGGACCCCAAAATAAGGTACCCCTTAACCCATTTTGAGCCGGGGCCTTTGAGGAGATGCTGACGTCGCAGTACATGGCTTGCACCAAGCCTGAAGCTCAGGCCCATGGGCTCTTTCGTTGAGGATTTTGGGTAATATAGGGGCCTGACAAGTTGCCCATACAGTACTATTTTGGGGGTTCCTTATTACAATGATAGTAGAATGGGCCCCCAAACATTAATCCAATTAGTAAGGCCCCTATAGTACGGCCTCGAGTGCGCGTCTCGCCCGTATGGTTTCATTCTACCGCCCTGTAATGTGGGGCTTGGGTTTGGGGTTTGGGGTGTTGGAGCAAGCGGTACTTGGATGCGGCCGTGATGCGGTCTTCCAGTGGTCCTTCATTGCTTGGGGTCTGCGCATTGTGATATATTAACATGCTTTTCTCAAGAACTCTAGTCACTTTCTTTAGTCGGTCTTGTTTCGCAGGGTTTTTTGGAAGATACTCGAGAGCTTCCAACAACAAAAGAACAGGGGGAAACCCTAAACTCCCTAAACCTTACAATTTGCGTTGAGCGAGTGTGCGAGTCTAAACCTTGCATTTTAGAGCTGCAGGGTTCTGCCCCTGCACAGGCACGGCGAAGGAGCCGGGTGGGTGTGGTCGACTATGCCTGCGACCCGGTGACTCGGCAACTACTTGAAAGAGCTTCCAGGGTAACATGTGCCGACTGCCAAAATCCTCCCCTACAGCTGCTCATCGGGGATTTCGTGCAGCGAGTCCTATGTCAAGTGCGAGTGCTGAGAGTAAGAGCGTGGTAGTAGAAGTGTCCTAGTGTCCTTGTGTGCAGAGCCGTGGCTGGACCATGTGACGGCCGAAATGGCGGCCTCGGAAGTGGCTTTTCAGTCTAACGTTTCTGCGTGAAATGGCTTCTGATGCTGTAGTTTCAAGTCTTCTGAACTGGCGGGTGTTATGCGGCCTCATGTAGTGGGACTATCTAAATGCACAGGCAGAAAAAAAGAGACAGAGAGAGAGAGAGGCACCCCGAGGGCTTGAATTGCTTTCTAAGCCTGGGAGATTGAAGAGGGAGACACAGAGAGAAAAAACGAGCCGCTCATCTGGGGAAGGTCTCCAAGTACACGCTTAAGTCCTGAGACTGTAAGGGTTTCGGGCTCCGCATGCTTTCTGCGCCATCGTAATCTTCACACGATCAGTTCGGGATATTGTTCCAGGGCAACATGCAGCAAGCAAGACGAGGACGATCTGCAGAAAATCGGATAGCGTGAATCTCGCGCAGTCTGGCCATGGAGAGGGAGTCTACGCAAACACACGCGCAACTTTGGCGACCCCGGTTAGATCCGGTCAGCCTATGTTGTTTAGGGTTATAAGACTGAATCGCAAATGTGTCGAATCATCTTGCCCAACGTTGAAGCACGCCACGAACTCACAAAAGTGCCGAAGGCCAAGTGCCCTAGGACCTGGACTCGCCCAACACCCATCAGGAAGTAGTGAAGGAACGACAAAGAAGAACAAGAAGGCACAGGGATCATCCAACCTACTGCCAACCCTAAAACAGCATAACCAGCCAGGGGGGTAGCAAGACCTTAAACTAGCTGTGCGGGCAAGGTCAGTATCTGCGAGCAAGCGGCCAGGCACCGAAGAAAGCTCGAGGATTCAGTGCGTCCGGTTGTCGTTGTCGTTTCTATGGTGCCAGGTGTTATGAGTTATGGCGGAATCATGCTTTCTTGATGTGGGAACGCATTTCAACTTGTCGAGCGTGGCTTTTATGTTGCTTACTGCATCGCTTGTGAACTTGTGAACCCACAGTTAGTATAGTTATTACTGTCGCAGTGACTCCAGGCAGCTTCCCTCGAGTTGGTTGTCGCTTTTTTTCTGATGTGCATTGGACACCCGCAGAAATATATGATCGCGATTTCATTGATTCTTTTGAGCCGGACTTTTGACTGGCCCTCAATGCTCTCAGCAGGCATGCGCGGAAGTTGTGCAAGCAGCACTTCGCTGATGATGCAGATGCTCAGCTTGGTTTGGGCATTCAATGCTTTCGTCATTGATGTCATAGACATCGGCCCGCCTCCATGCTCATGCTTTGTTTCTACGTCAGTGTGCTGCGATCACACTCCCCAGTTAGCACGCCCACCTAACTTCCCACCATGTGTATGTACGACAATCCAAGCAAGAGATCAGACAGTCCACACACACACACACACAGTTACATGCACACCCACGCTGTCTGTCTCTCTCTCTCTCTCTCTCTGTCTCTCTCCCTCCCATCTCGTCTCGCTCTCTGGTTAGGCCCTCATGACTCACACTTTTGGTTCATCCCAGCAGCCTTTATAGCACTTGGTAGGAATCTACGCGTGAACGCGTGTGCACACTGGCACCCTTTCCTTTACTGGACAATGCTCGACATTTGCAAGCCCCCAAGCTGCAGCCCAATATATGCCTGTTAGCCCTATGGCTGCCACATAGGAGCTCTCCGTAGCGGTCCTGAGTTTTTGTTTGCTACTTTGTGGTTCTAGCTGTTAGCAAGGATGTTGACATCTCCGTCGTCAGCAGCAGTGCAGCCAGCACCTTTGATTTGGAGAAGCTCGGCTGGAGAGCCTTTGGGTTCTGTAAGGGCGCGAGAGGTTTCTGCAAAGGTCTCACAGGGTTCAAAAAGGGACTGTGGGCTTATGTGCCTTGCGCAGTTTGGGTTGGATCAGTGGAGGAGCTTCCAAACAGCCTCACTGTATTTGGACAGTCGCCAAGGTGCATGGCTGGTCTGACCGACACTTGTATAAACACTCTCTGAATAGAAGTGTGTCAGGTGCTTCTTTGAGTTCCGGTCGCAGACTCTGAGGAGCCGCATTCGGTTTCCCTATGTGCCGAACTACCTGTTCTACATTATGGTGGTGCCACGGCAGAGATGTTTGTGCTTGACTTCAGAAGTATCTCAAATGAGCCGCGTTATTGTCGCAACGGTTGACTAACCAGGGCAAGCTTCAACAAGTCCGTGTGTGGCTCTGGAGCAGTTGATTTGTCACAGAAGTTATGCAGAGCACTCGACCCGATTCAGTCAGCCTTGTGATAGCATTCACGACTTGACACAGATACATGCAGACGATTGCATGCATAAACGCTTTTGGACATGAACTCACAAGTGCGTATATGCGTCCCGCATGTCCTCGCTGTTTCCGCCAGACAAGGAGTTGCTCAAGAACAGTGCGCGTGCGACAGTGGAAGCACGACAGGACGGATGGGAGTTCGGTCATGCTCCACTTTCAAGGTACAGCAGTTGGCTTAGGTTGTTGGGCAATGACGTATGACCTGGATGGACTGGCGGTTTGCAAGAGTTAGTTCATGCCTGACCTACTTGACACTGCAGCCTAAACCGTCTTGCCTCTCCAGACCCGTCACCCTAGCAAGGAGTCTCC